TGATGATGATGATGATGATGATGATAGGAGAATAGTGGGATGATGATGATGATAATAATAATAATAATAGAATAGCAGGATAATAATAATAATAATAATAATAATAATAAATGTGCCTAAAGACCTTGGCCTGGACTTAAATACAATCAGCACTGACAAGAATAGTGGGATAATGATAATAATAATAGGAGAATAGCAGGATAATAATAATAATAATAATATGTGCCTAAAGACCTTGGTCTGGACTTAAAATACAATCAGCGCTGACAAGAATAGTGGGATGATGATGATGATGATAATAATAAAAATAATAATAATAATAGGAGAATAGCGTGATAATAATAATAATAATAATAATAATAATAATAATAATACTGGGAGAATAGCAGGATGATGATAATAATAATAATAATAGGAGAATAGTGGAATAATAATAATAATAATTGTGCCTAAAGACCTTGGCCTGGACTTAAATATAATCAGCGCTGACAAGAATAGTGGGATAATAATAATAATAATAATAATAATGGGAGAATAATAATAATAATAATAATAATAATAATAATAATAATAATAATAAATGTGCCTAAAGACCTTGGCCTGGACTTAAATACAATCAGCGCTGACAAGAATAGTGGGATGATGATGATGATAATAATAATAATAATATGTCCAAAAAGTCAGAAAGGTTTTGAAGAGCCAATTAAATGGTGGAAATACAATCAAGGCTATCAACACCTGGACCATCCCTGTCATTAGACCCACTGCTTGAATTGTGAACTGGACGCAAGCAGAGCTGGATGATCTGGACAGAAAAACAAGAAAACTGATGACAATCCACTACTCATTACACCTGTGTAGTGATGTTGACAGACTTTACCTGCCCAGAAAATCAGGAGGCAGAGAGAGAGCTTCTGCAAGTGAAACAAATGGTAGAAGAAGAGAAACATGCACTGGCAGATTATGTGATAGGCATTGATGGAAGTCATCAGTTTTCTTCTGCTCTTCTTCATGCATTCACACATTCGTTCCTTACATCATCTGGGGAGGCCCTGCTCTCAGTCCCACCTCCCTCGCAGGCACAATTGGCGGAGATAAGAGACAGGGCCTTCTCAGTAGTGGTCCCTTGGCTCTGGAACTCCCTCCCCAGCAATGTTAGATCAGCCCCCTCTCTCCTGACCTACCCCAAGAGAGTGAAAATTTGTGAAAAATTTGGCTTTGTGAAGCCTTTAGTGAACTTGTGAAATAGAAAGATTTTGAACAATGTGCAATGACCATTGGAACAGCCTGGATTACGCTCGTGGGTTAGGTGTTTAACTCTGAATTGTATTGTTTTTAAATGTTTTGATTGTTTTAATGTACATTTTAATTCTATTATAATATTTATTTAAGTGTATTTAAGTGGACCTCAGCAAGCGAGAGTCCAAAAGTGGCAGGTCAAAACCTGATACCAGATACCAGATAACCTGATACCAGATAAGAAATTCCTTTCTGGGCACACAGAAGACTGGGCGACTTGAAAGGCAATGCTTTGGCACCATGAGATGCAGAGCCAATTTTAAGAAATGTGGCTGCTAAGTGGAGTCCACGATATGCGAGTGTGGAGAAAAGCAAATCACAGACTATTTACTACAATGCAATCTGAGCCCTGCAATGTGCACAATGAAGGACTTTCTCACAGTGGCATCAAAGGCATTCAAAGTGGCCAGCTTCTGGTCAAAGGAAATTTAGTATAATGCCAAGTTTTTAGCTTTGTTTCTGGGTTTAAAAAATGCATTATAACTGTCTTCTCAATTTGCTTTTGAGACGATAAATAAGATATCATTCTTGTCTTACTAGAACTCTGAACCAGACCATTCCCCGAATGTATTTAGCAACCAAATCCCAAAATATAGGACCATATGTATGCACTAGTTTCTGCAATATATGTACTGTGTACTGTGTACTATTATGTACTGTGGCATAATAAATCCACGCTATGTGATGCATCACTATCAAAACATTCAGTTTCTCAAAGATCCCCAAAACATGTAAGCATTCTTAAAAAATAATGTAACTTTTTAATTTTTTTAAAAAGTACAAAGGAACCACATAAAGAAGTTATTCCCTGCTTCATGTGCTGTCTCTTGCTGATTCCTGCATCAAGCTCCGGCACCGTCCTTCCAACACGCCCCGGAAGACCTCGTAGCGGTGGTTGAGGTCTCTGCGGCTGTGGATGTGCAACATGGTCCCCAGGGCTCCATGGGGGGATGGCACCCCATAGAAAACCCGCTCAATGCGCGAATGTACTAAGGACATGGCACACATTGCACAGGGCTCCCGCGTCAAGTACATATCGTAGCCGGTGCAGATATAAGGGAGCCCATTGGTGGAAGGGGAAGAATGATCAGACTGGTGGTCCTGTTGATGGAAAATGCAAGCGGGGTAGTCCTTGTAACAGTAGGCACCCCCTCCTTGGCTGTGGGCCACGAGGTCGATGCAAACCATGGCGGCGTGGAGCAACGGGTTGAGGCCATCCCGGCAATCGTGTCCAACGGCCAAAACCTTGCCGGAGAATGGGTCAACCACCACCGCGCCCACTGGCCTCATGCCTCGCTTTGCCCCTTGTTGTGCTGCTTGGATGGCCAACTCCATGTGGTCTTGCATAGCAGCCTTCTCCAAAGGAGTGAAGAGGCTCCCGCTGATGGCTTGCGTGATGCGTTTGTTTTCGTGGAAAGAGACAGGCCAGTGAGACGCGGCTTCTTCATACTGTGGCCGCGTCAAAGGTGGGTGTTCAGGGACCAAGGCTAAGAAAGGTTGTCCTAAGCCGCACAGTTCAACTTGCCCACTGGGGAAGAGCTCAGAGAGAGACCGCAAGCCCTCCGGCCCTTCTTCAGCATTTGCAAGGCACACGATCATTTCCAACGGATGTGGGCTATTTGGAGAAATGCAGGCACGGATACGCTTCAGGTGAGGGTAGTCGCCCAGTGGGTAGACTGCAGAGACTTCCTTCACTAGCCGGCAGGCCTCTTTCTTATCCAGGACGGGAGCAGCATAAACCGGCATCAGCGTGACTCCTCGGGACTCCTGCTCTGAAAGAACCGGCAGTGCTTCCCATGAATCGGTGGGCTCTGCCGTTCTGCGGCGCTTGCAGCCGGGCTCCATCAGGCTTCTTGGGAAAAGAGAACACAAGAGATTATTCCAAATGGTTTTGTTTTTGTTTTGTTTTTTGTTGTGTCAGGAGCGACTTGAGAAACTGCAAGTCGCTTCTGTTGCGAGAGAATTCGCCGTCTGCAAGGACGTTGCCCAGGGGACGCCTGGATGATTGGATGTTTTATCATCCTTGTGGGAGGCTTCTCCCATGTCCCCGTATTAGGAGCTGGAGCTGATAGAGGGAGCTCATCCGCCTCTCCCCGGATTCGAACCTACAACCTGTCAGTCTTCAGTTCTGCCGGCACAGGGCTTTAACCCACTGCGCCACCAGGGGCTCCTCCAAATGGTATTAAAAATGTACAAAAGCTGTTACAAACACAAATCCTATTAACAACTAGCGTATATACCAGGCATGGGCAAACTTTGGCTCTCCAATTGTTTTGGACTTCACTCCCACCATTCCTAACAGCCTCAGGACCTTTCCTTTTCTCCCTCAGAGCGATGCGGCATCTCCATAATGCTCGGTGCTTCTGGACCCAGCTATCATACTATTACCTTGGGCCCTCCGGATGTTTTGGACTTCAACTCCCACCATTCCTAACAGCCTCAGGCCCCCCCTCCCCCCCCTCAGACGATGTTTGATGCAGCAGCTTAAAAAAGCCAACAGAATAGAATAGATTAGAATCATAGAATCAGAGTTGGAAGAGACCTCATGGGCCATCCAGTCCAACCCCATTCTGCCAAGAAGCAGGAATATTGCATTCAAATCACCCCTGACAGATGGCCATCCAGCCTCTGTTTAAAAGCTTCCAAAGAAGGAGCCTCCACCACACTCCGGGGCAGAGAGTCCCACTGCTGAACGGCTCTCACAGTCAGGAAGTTCTTCCTCATGTTCAGATGGAATCTCCTTTCTTGTAGTTTGAAGCCATTGTTTTGCGTCCTAGTCTCCAGGGAAGCAGAAAACAAGCTTGCTCCCTCCTCCCTATGGCTTCCTCTCACATATTTATGCATGGCTATCATATATCCTCTCATCCTTCTGTTCGTCAGGCTAAACATGCCCAGCTCCTTAAGCCGCTCCTCATAGGGCTTGTTCTCCAGAACCTTGATCATTTTAGTCACCCTTCTCTGGACACATTCCAGCTTGTCAATATCTCTCTTGAATTGGACACAATATTCCAGGTGTGGTCTAACCAAAGCAGAATAGAGGGGTAGCATGACTTCCCTAGATCTAGACACTATGCTCCTATTGATGCAGGCCAAAATCCCATTGGCTTTTTGTGCCGCCACATGACATTGTTGGCTCATGTTTAACTTGTTGTCCACGAGGACAACTCCCATAATCCCATAGAATACTACAACTCCCATAATTCCATGGCAAACTACAACTCCCATACTCCCATGGCAAACTACAACTCCCATACTCCCATGGCAAACTACAACTCCCATAATCCCATGGCAAACTAGAACTCCCATAATCCCATGGCAAACTACAACTCCCATACTCCCATGGCATTGAACCCAGGCAGCTAAAATAGTGTCAAACTGCATTAATTAAAACAGATGTACCTTCGAAGCTTCCTAATCCATGAAGCCAACTCGATGGCAAGGCAACAACAATCCACATCCAGTCAAAGTATTCCTCTCTGAGATTTCTACATCACCAGGAAGTTGATTCTCCAGCACGTTGCCCTCCTCTCCTCTGATTGGCTAACGTTTCGAAAGCGAGCGTGCTGATTGGCCGGCAATACCGCCCATTGGCTGAGGATGAACGTTCGACGCGTCCTAGAAGAGACAGCCTCCCAAGAGTCAACGAGAGGGAGAGATAGAGAGGCCGGAAGTGGTTGGGGGTTTTTTGTTTTTTTTGTAAACTCGCCGACGGGGAAACGGATGCGGAAGTGAGCGGGTTCCGGAGCCGGGAGATGGAGTCCGGGCAGCAGCAGCAGAGGCCGTTGTGGCGCGGCTTGGGGCTCCTCGGGGGAGGCGGCGAGGGCCCCGGCCTGGGCTGCGAGCGGAGGCTGTTGTGGGCCGCGTCCTTGCTCTGCGTCCTGCTGGACCTCCAGTTGCCAGGTAACCACGGTTGCCAGGCAACCCGGCCCCGCCCTCCCCCTCTGCTCCCATAGCAACGGGCGATTCCCTAAACCTCCCCCCGTCCTGATTTGTTTTTCCTCCTAAAGCCTCGCCAACATACCCTCGGCCAAGCCACGCCCCTGGTCGGGATGACGTAAGTTTAGGCCCCGCCCATGTCCCCCACAGCCACGCCCCCTTGACACCATTGGAAGTCGTAGTTCAACAAGATCTGGCCTTGTCTGCCTCAGCAAGCTACAACTCCCAGGGTCCCATAGCACTGGCTACATAGCATGAATTACATCTGTTATAGAACTCCAATATGCTAATGACAACGTCATCTGTGCGCATTCAGAAGATGACCTACAAGCCACTCCAAACACCTTCGCGGAAGCATACGAGAAGTTCGGCCTGTCACTGAACATCGAGAAAACCAAAGTGCTCTTCCAGCAGTCACCAGCCATTCCCTCTCCAATTCTGGAATTACAGCTTAATGGTGTAACATTAGAAAATGTCTATCTTGGCAGACATCTCTCCACCAAAGTCAACGTTGACACTGAAACAACACCGCCTGAGTTCTGCGAGTGCAGCATTTCTCCGAATGAAGCAGAGAGTGTTTGAGGACTAGGACGTCTGCAGGGATACCAAGGTGCTTGTCTGTAAAGCTATTGTCCTCCCAATCCTGCTTTATGCCTGCGAGACGTGGACTATCTACAGAGGTCACATGCAACTCCTGGAACAATTCCATCAGCGCTGCCTCTGGAAAATCCTGCAAATCTCTTAGGAAGACAGGCGGATAAATGTCAGTGTGCTAGAAGAAGCAAAGACCACCAGTGTTGAAGCGATGGTCCTCCGCCATCAACTCCGCTGGACTGGCAACATTGTCCAGATGCCTGACCACCATCTCCCAAAGCAGTTGCTCTACTCTGAACTCAAGAACAGAAAAAGAAATGTTGGTGGACAGGAAAAGAGTTTTGAAGATGGACTCAAGGCCAACCTTAAAAATTCTGGTATAGACACTGAGAACTGGGAAGCCCTGGCCCTTGAGTGCTCCAGCTGGAGGTCAGTTGTGACCAACAGTGCTGTAGAATTTGAAGAGGCACAAATGGAGGGCAAAAGAGAGAAACGTGCCAAGAAGAAGGCGCGTCAAGCCAACCCCGACCTGGACCGCCTTCCACCTGGAAACCAATGTCCTCACTGCGGGAGAAGATGCAGATCAAGAATAGGGCTCCACAGTCACCTACGGACCCACCACCAGTACACTCATCCTGGAAGACTATCCTACTCAGACAACGAGGGATCGCCTAAGATAGCACTGGCAGTTAAAGTGATATGAAACTGCATCCATTCAACAGTGTAGATCAAGCCTGGGTAAACTTGGGCCCTCCAGGTGTTTTGGACTTCAACTCCAACAATTCCTTACATCTTCAGGCCTGAGGCTGTTAAGAATTGTGGGAGTTGGTGCCCAAAATACCTGGAGGGCCCAAGTTTTCCCATGCCTGGTGTAGATGCACCCTTGGGGTTCTAAATCTTCTTGGATCTCTTTTAAGAGCCATAGCATGCTTCTAGTCCTCAGTGATGGGGCTTGCATGCGAAGGAAGTGCTTTGTTGCTGAGCTATGGGCCTCTTTGCTTAAGACACTTTTCTTTTCCATGTCTGCTGCTCAAGGTTTGCTGGCTGCTGGGCAGGCGGAGATTGAAAACCACCTGGAAATGGGGCGGAAGCTGTTGGCGGCTGGACAGTTGGCCGAGGCTCTGTCTCACTATCACTCTGCAGTGGGTGAGTAAACCAAGACTGAAGACGGTCAGGAAAGAATGGAAGCATCTTGACAGGGCCAGGATTGCCTAAGCACTTTCCTGGTCTTGGTAATAGGCCAATGAATGAAAGGTACTAGATCTGGCATGGGCAAACTTCAGCCCTCCTGGTGTTTTGGACTTCAACTCCCACAATTCCTAACAGCCTGCCGGATGTGGGAATTGACGTCCACAACACCCAAAGGGATGAAGTTTGCCCATGCCTGTACTAGATCTATTCAATGATGTAGGGTTATTGCATTTGGGTTAAATCTTCAAACACACTCAAAAGCTTGGCATGGAAATGATTTTATTGGAATATTCTGTTTTGGCTCTTTTTCTTTCCTTCCTTCATTTCCTCCATTCACTCCCTCCCTCTTTCCATGGTTACAATTCTACACTTATCCCATTTCCATGTCCTATTGTTTACAGACTGGCTACCTTTACAGCAGCTTACCGCTATTGGTTGATGAGCGCAGTTTTATTGAGTCTTAAGTTGTTGTTTTATATGCCTATGTGTTTTACTTCATTGTATTTTATATTGTGTTTTATTTTATGCTCTGTTTTCTGGCACCTTGTGCTGTGTGTAAGCTGCTCCGAGTCCCTTTGGAGAGATGGTGGTAGTATACAAGAATAAAGTTGTTATTGTTATTATTATAAAGGTTCAAGGCAGACTTGCAAAGGGGTTTTATGAGTTTTAAAGGCCTTTTAGTGTATTTACTGTATTTTAATTCTGTTTTTACAAAATCACAATCTGTCAACTGCAAAAGGCCATCTTATTTGGATCTGCACGCATCATTTGAAAATACATCACACAGTCCTAGACACTTGGGAAGTGTTCGACTTGTGATTTTGTGATACAAAATCCAGCATATAGATCTTGTTTGCTATGACATACTGTGTTTTTGTGTCAGTAAAATAATAATAATAATAATAATAATAATAATAATAATAATAATAATAATGGAAGTATCTCTTCAAATGAACTCAAACTGGAATAGAGCTAGTGTTTCTTCCATGTCCGTATATTACTTATGTAACTAAATGCACAGAACTGCAACTTTCTTCACATTTACGACTTGACAAAAGGGCTGTGGTGGGAGGGGATGTGAGGTACATTTCTGATGCAGAAAGAAACACACACACCCTTTTTTATTGTTTTCCCAACCTTCCAGAAAATGACCCCAAAAACTACCTTACCTACTACAAGCGTGCAACCATCTATTTGGCCATGGGCAAGTTCAAATCAGCGTTGCCGGACCTCTCTAAAGCGATTGAGCTCAAACCGGATTTCCTGGCCGTAAGTCTTCTTAAAGGGAGGGAATTAATTCTAGGGAAGAAGGACTGAGTTTGGAAAGATCTTGGGTTGTGTGTTTTCTCTTGTGATGCCTGTTGTGTTAGGCATAAACACAACAGGAATCATTCCAAACAGCATTAAATGTTATGCATTGTTCTGGATCATTGATGTATCTAAAAATAATTTTATGTACAGCATGACCCCCACATCTGCATCACAGAGACATTTATGAACATACTGTGGAAACAGAAACTGGGGGTAATAGTAAAGCCTATTGAAATGAATAACGTCCCCAGGAAGTTACCATAGAGTTGCCCTGGAGATCTTGGAAATTTCTGAAAGAGGTGTTCTCACTAGGAGTCTGCTAGGTCCTCCAGGATGATTCTATTGTAACTTATTGTGGAGATTGTATATAGGCTTGTCTAGTGAGCCTAAAAAAAGAATCCTAGAGTTGGAAGAGACTTCATGGACCATCCAGTCCATACCCTTTTTGACAGGCAGGAACACACTATCAAATAACAGGCTATTTATTTATTTATTTATTTATGTATTTATCGTGTCAGTATCAACCAGACAATTGTATTACATTTTTAACAAAATTTTAACAGACAAAACAGAGTTTCAAACTTGGTAGTTGATTAAATGTCCTTTGACCAGTAGCTGGCCACTTGGAGTGCCTCTGGTGTTGCCGCAAGAAGGTCCTCCATTGTGCATGTGGCGGGGCTCAGGTTGCATTGCAGCAGGTGGTCTGTGGTTTGCTCTTCTCCGCACTTGCATGTTGTGGATTCCACTTTGTAGCCCCATTTCTTAAGGTTGGCTCTGCATCTCGTGGTGCCAGAGCGCAGTCTGTTCAGCGCCTTCCAAGTCACCCAGTTTTCTGTGTGCCCAGGGGGGAGTCTCTCATTTGGTATCAGCCATTGATTGAGGTTCTGGGTTTGAGCCTGCCACTTTTGGACTCTCACTTGCTGAGGTGTTCCAGCGAGTGTCTCTGTAGATCTTAGAAAACTATTTCTTGATTTAAGTTGTTGACGACCAGGCTGATCTTCCCTGAGAATGAATCAATCAATTTGCTGGGGGTATTTGTGAGAACTCCAGTGTTTCCATACAATGGGACTGAGGAACCTATGCCCTTCCGGTTGCTGTCAGACTCAGGTTCACACAAGCCTTTGCTCAAACACACGGATTTCATGGCTTTTGTTTGTCCATGGGGGGCAAGCCAACCAATTAGTTTCCTTTGTCTCTGTGGTCTTCTTCGGTGATGCCTTTTGCTGAAAGAATTGTCCCTTTTCTGTTCCCCAGGCCAGACTGCAACGAGGCAACATCCTTCTGAAACAAGGAAACACACAGGAGGCCAAGTTAGACTTCGAAGCTGTGGTAAGCAACACACCCAGAAATTGTGGCTTTTGGTACACATTCATTCCTTGAGGTGAGTGTTGGCAGGGTCCCAGTGAAAGATCCTGTCAGACCTCTTTAGAAATCCATCTGGGGTTCTGTGAGCAAAGCTGTCTGCTTTATTTGTGTCCGTTTCAAAGACTAATCTCTCCCATGATCACACATATGTTCACATCGTTATCAGAAACACTGTCTCCCCGTTTCTAATTTGCTATTTGCAAATGCATGTGGGGCAAGGGGGCTGCATACAATGACCAGAAAATCGTTATTCAGACTGATAGGAAAATATCACAAATAAACACAAGGAGTTGTGAAAAAGAGATCTAATTGGTTAGAAATTTCTGGAAAAGACCTTTCACATCTCCTAGTGTCTTATATGAAATGCTTATATGAAATGCTTGGAACCAGAAGTGTTTTGGAAGTTGTTTTCATTTTGGAATATTTGTATTTGCATCTACATATATACACTTCACTTATACATTGTATTTTTAATAATTTTGTGCATGGAACAAGGTTTGTGTGCATTGAATTATCAGAAATAATAATAATAATAATAATAATAATACATTTTATTTGTTACCTGCTTTGTGTCCAACACACACAAAAAGGAAAGGCCCACCCTATGGACAATTTCATTTTTTGGAATTTTTAAAATTCCGGATAAGATAATAGATATAGATATAAAATAGTCATTTCTTCTTGATGTGTTGGCCCATATCCGTTCTCCCTTCATTAGCTATCTATTTCCAGAACTGTTGCAGTTTAGTGCTTACTTTTATCATAAATGGTGGCTTAATTAGGAAGGATTAGATGAAGAGAAATTACTACCAGAATGCACTCAGGCCTTTTTAGATCATATTAGCCCATTTAACAACTTTGGCCATACAATCTATGCACACATTTGTGAACCTTCTTGTTGTTTTAATATATTAATTTGGATGATTTATGTTTAAGTTCTATGTTAGTTATAATTTCCAATTGATTATGTTTTATTCAAATTATAGTTGTTATGCTTAAGTTGCTCTTTATGTGGGGTTATCTTGGGTGTTATATTTGTATTTACTGTTATTGAGGCATTGAATGTTTGACTTTTTGTTTGTTGGAATCTGCCCTGAGTCCCCCAGGGGAGATAGGGCAGAATATAAATAATAATAATAATAATAATAATAATTATTATTATTATTATTATTATTATTAATATGAAAGAATTTCCCACCTTAATCCTTCAATTATTTCAACAGCTCCAGAGTAGTCCAGACAACACAGAGGCCCGAAGCCAGCTCACACGGGTCACTGAGCTAGAATTGTCTATGCAAGAAGCTCGGACTGCCTTTCAGAGGAAGAACTACATGGGAGCAGTCGGTATTCTGGATCGAGCAATTGAGGTACCTTGACCTTAATTCATCCTGTCCTATCTTGTATGACATTGAAAACAGAATGTCATACTAGGCTCAGGGGATCTGGTTTCATGTTCTCGTATATAAGAAGGGACTGGTGCGTGTAGGCTCTTTGGGATAACTTGCCATCTTACTGCAAGGCACACTTTGTGTCTTCCTGTTCTTCTTTGCATTCCTGTGGGGTCAAATAATTAACTTGTGCTGGATTCACTCAAAACTAGAGCAGAGGTGGCCTATTTCATTAGATTTTAGGTCTTAGCACATTGGGAAGTGTGAAGAAATGCGCATGTTCGCTCCCCTGAAATGTCTAGAAAAAAGATAGCAGTGGGAACAAAATTAAGAACGTGTGCTTCTTATGTATTCAATGGATTTTATTTATTTGTTGTGTCAAGCTAATTGAGGGTACCGTTGTAATGTATTTGAAACACAAATAAAGTTCAAAACTTGACATTATACGGAATGTCCTTTGACCAGTAGCTGGCCACTTGGAGTGCCTCTGGTGTCACTGTGAGAAGGTCCTCCATTGTGCATGTGGCAGGGCTCAGGTTGCGTTGCAGCAGGTGGTCTGTTGTGCTCTTCTCCACACTCGCATGTCGTGGACTCCACTTTGTAGCCCCATTTCTTAAGGTTGGCTCTCGTGGTGCCAGAGCGCAGTCTGTTCAGCGCCTTCCAAGTCACCCAGTCTTCTGTGTGCCCAGGAGGGAGTCTCTCATTCAGTATCAGTCATGGATTGAGGTTCCAGGTTTTCGCCTACTACTTCTGGACTCTCGCCTTTCTGAGTCTCTCTGTAGATCATAGGAAGCTGTTTCTTGATTTAAGACAATGGCATGCTGGCTGATAATCCGAACAGAGGATGGTCCGGAGATGTCACTGCCTTGGTCTTTTCATTGCTGGCTGCTACTTCCCGGCAGATGTCAGGTGGTGCAGTACCGGCTAAACAGTATAATTTCTCCAGTGGTGTTGGGCATGCAGCATATCTCATTAAGAGCCATGACCACTGTTTTAACATGGTGAGATGTATTCCACACTGGGCATGCGTATTCAGCAGCAGAGTAGCAAAGTGCAAGGGCAGATGTCTTCGCTGTGTCTGGTTTTGATCCCTCAGGTTGTGCCAGTCAGCTTTCGTATGATATTATTTCTAGTGCCCACTTTTTGCTCAATAGTCAAATAGTGCTTCTTGTAAGTCAAAGCATGGTCTCAGGTATTTGGGTGTGCTTCAATGCTTCAGTGGGATTCCTTCCCAGGTAATCCTCAGAGCTCGAGATGCTGGTGTGTTCTTAATGTGAAAAGCACATGTCTGTGTTTTAGATGGATTAGGAATCAGCTGGTTTTCCCTGTAATAGGCTGTAAGAGCACCTAAAGCTTCGGAGAGCTTCTGTTCAACCATTTCAAAGCTCCTGCTTGAGTGATGGCACGATCATCAGCATAGATGAAACTCTCTGTCTCTTCTGGCAGTGGCTGGTCATTTGTGTAAATGTTAAACATGGATGGAGCAAGCACGCTTCCCTGAGGCAGGCTGTTCTTCTGTTTTCGCCATCTGCTTCTCTGGCCCTGGAACTCAACAAAAAAGCTCCTGTTTTGTAGCAGATTTCCTATGAAGCGGTTGAGGTGGTAATCCTTTGTGATAATGTTTGTTTCACCCTTCTACGTGGAGGGTGAGAAGATCAGGATATAAAAATAAAATAAATAAATAAATAAATATTATAATTTTTTCTCAGGGGAAGGCTAATAGGAATAGGAAGAAAACATGACCTGTTAATGGTGCACTTTGCCTGGAGTTGGCAGCATGTGGCTTTAAATGAATTTATTATTTAGTCAGAATAGCTCATGGTAATTGTCAGCCACATTTCTCAAGTAACAACCATGTTTCCTCAGATTTCCCCATGGGACCCAGAAGCGAAAGAGCTGCGTTCTGAGTGCTACTTGTACCTTGGCAACTATGAGAAGGCTATCATGGACCTCAAACCCACCACCAAGTTGCGCAACGACAACAGGGCAGCTTTCCTCAAGCTAAGCAAGCTGTATTACAACTTGGGGGATCACGAGGAGTCCTTAAAGTGAGTGCTGCGTATTTCTACATAAGAGTGTGTATGTGCAATTTACTTTATTTTTTGCACAGACTCAGTTCTTTTGTTATCACATGGTGTTACTCCATGATTTGGAGGAAAGGATCACTAGGAATAATGCAACATAGATGTTCAGTTTTGCCTCCCCACTCTGAATTTTGCATTCCCAGATCTAGAAATCTTTCCCTTCCATTTTTCCAGATGCAAATATGGATGGCATTTTGGCCCAGCTACTTACATGTACATAGAAAAACAAATGCACCATTTTTTTCTTCAAATAGTAGACATGATGTTGGAGATCAGTAGACATTTTCTGCTTAGAGCTTGCATAACAGTTGTTTATAAATGTCCATGAATTCTGAAGTGGTGTGAAAAGAAAGGATATAAAACTGCAGACATCAAGGGAAGACAGCATCTTATTTTAGAAGGAGGGGGTTCAGCCATGAACTCTCAAGATACCTTTGGGAGCATTGCTTTTTCTTAGCATTTGTCCTTATTTTGTCCAGTGGATACTTATGAAGGGTGTCCCTCTCACCACAACTAAACTCAGGTCCTTTTCCCTTAAGCCAAGTACGAGAATGTCTCAAGTTGGACCAGGATGACAAGAACTGTTTCTCCCACTACAAGCAAGTAAAGAAGCTTTCCAAGCAGCTGGAAACAGCTGAAGAACATGTAAAAGCTCACAGGTGAGTGTTCCTTTTTTCCTTCCTTTGCAAGAGTTCTTGGGTTGGGTTGCCAGTGTATGTGGCAAATTAAATCAAATATGCTTTGCAAAAAAATGAATGCGTGCTGTGGTTGTTTCAAAGGTGTGCAAGGAGAAGATGGCTTATGCAGTATTTATGAACTTGTGGCTTGCTTGCCTTATTATATGCTATGCTAGAGTAGCATATATCTGGAAATAATTATGCAGAGAGGATTTTTTGCATTGAGGATGTTAGATTGCAGCCATGGTTTCCAAAATGTCTTCCAACAAGACTTGGAAAAATGACTTTTTGGGGCAGGGAGATGACAAAATCTAAGATCCCCAGCACTGGCATGCCCAAGCCCAAAAAGCAACATTAGCATATTTTATATATGTTTATATTATACTAGCTGTCCCCTGGTCTGGTGATCTGGAAAATAAAGTAATGATAAAGTTCTGGTTTCTAATATATGTGATTTCTTGATGCTTGTGGGTAAACAGTACTACTTGTTGTTTCTTTGTCAGTGTTGATGTCGAGATGGTATGATTTGCCCATTCTGGAACATGCAACATATCATTGTCCTTCTTTAGGGTCCCTTTCAAATCTATGATACTATATCTGTGTGTGTGAATCATATCTATCTATATTTATGACTGGATGGCTCTTTGTCAGGAGGGCTCTGATGACATTTTCTTGCCCTGGTGAAGAGAGTTGGACTGGATGGCCTTAAGTATTTTCTGTTGGTCATGGGGTTCTGTGTGGGAAGTTTGCCCCAATTCTGTCATTAGTGGGGTTCAGAATGCTCTTTGATTGTAGGTGAACTATAAATCCCAGTAACTACAACTCCCAAATGTCAAGGTCTATTTCCCCCAAACTCCATCTGTGTTCATATTTGGGAATATTCATGCCAAGTTTGGTCCAGATCCATCATTGTTTGAGTCCATGGTGCTCTCTGGATATAGGTGAACTACAACTCCCAAACTCGAGGTCAATGCTCACCAAACCCTTCTGGTGTTTTCTGTTGGTCATAGGAATCCTGTATGCCCCGTTTGGTTCAATTCTATCATGCTATTTGATTGTAGGTGAACTATAAATCCCAGCAACTACAACTCCCAAAAGACAAAATCAAAAAAAAATGAGTAAAGGACATACATTGGGTTGTTAGGTGTATGCTGTCCAAATTTGGTGTCAATTGGCCCACTGGTTTTTGAGTTATGTTAATCCCACAAACAAACATTACATTTTTATTTACATAGATGTACTGATTTATGTTTTGCTGTGACCCGCCTCAAGCCATAAGGAGAGGTGGGTGAGAAATAAAATTATTGTTGTTGTTATGGTTCCAAGCTTTTATCTATAATACATTTTGGCTAAAAAAAAAAAAAAGTAAACTCACATTCTTGAGTTGCTTTGGGGTTCAGTCTCAAGGTTTATCAAATTGGCCATCCCATTTCCTACCATCTACAAGTAGAACAGGCAAGAAAGTCCTTTCCCTGTTGTCTTAAACAGAAATTAATAGGGCTGTAAGGTTAGCTAGCTCTATCACTTTCCAAATGCTGTTCTTTTCTGTGCCTATCGATAGTCAACATGGATTTATCAAAAACATGCCAGTCTAATCTGATCTATTTTTTGATAGAGTTACAAGCTGGGTAGATACAGGGAATGCCATGGATGGAGCGTATCTGGGTTTCAGTAAGACCTTCAACAATGTCTCCCATAAATTTCTGGCAAACAAACTAGTCCAATGTGGGCTAGGCAAAACTATGGTTAGGTGGATCTGTAATTGGTTAAGTGAAAGAACCCAGAGGGTGATTCTCCCCAATGCTCCCTCTTCACCCTGGAAAGAAGTGACGAGTGGTGTGCCATTAGCAGGGTTCCGGCCTGGTTCTTCCCAGGATCTTTATTAATGACTTAGATGAAGAGTTAGAAGGAATGCTCACCAAGTTTGTAGACAGCACCAGGTACAGAATGGGGGACAAGGTACAGAATGGGGGACACCTGCCTTGACAGCTGTAAATGTGAAAAAGATCTTGGAGTCCTCGTGGAGAGGAAGGTGAACATGAGCCAACAATGTGATGCGGTGGCTAATAAAACCAGTGGGATTTTGGCCTGCATCAATAGGAGTATAGTGTCTAGATCCAGGGAAGTCATGCTACCCCTCTATTCTGCTTTGGTCAGACCACACCTGGAATACTGTGTCCAATTCTGGGCACCACAATTGAAGGGAGATGTTGACAAGCTGGAATGTGTCCAGAGGAGGGCGACTAAAATGATCAAGGTCTGGAGAACAAGCCCTATGAGGAGCAGCTTAAAGAGCTGGGCATGTTTAGCCTGAAGAAGTGAAGACTGAGAGGAGACATGCCATGTATAAATATGTGAGGGGAAGTCATAGGGAGGCGGGAGCAAGCTTGTTTTCTGCTGCCCTGGAGACTAGGACATGGAACAATGGCTTCAAACTACAGGAGAGGAGATTCCACCTGAACATGAGGAAGAACTTCCTAATGGTGAGAGCTGTTCAGCAGTGGAACTCTCTCTCTCTCTCTCCACCCCGGAGTGTGGTGGAGGCTCCTTCTTTGGAGGCTTTTAAACAGGTTGGATGGCCATCTATCAGGAGTGCTTTGTGATTTTTTCTACTTCTTGGCACGGGGTTGGACTGGATGGCCCATGAGTCTCTTCCAACTCTATGATTCTATAATTCTAGGTATGAAGATGCCATTGAGAAGTATAAAGCAGCCATGAAAACAGAGCCCAACGTGGAGATCTACACCTCCAAGGCCAAAGGACGCATCTGCCACTGTTTATCCAAGGTGATGCAAAACCTTCCAAGCTGTGCAGCAAAACTCAGTTTCATGCTGAGCCTAGAGCAGAACTTTCCAAGCTGTGTGTCACAACACATTATTATGTCAGTTGCAGTGTGTAGGTGTGTTGCGTGAATGGAAGGAGAAACCTGTGAGTCTATGTGAAATAAGCAATAAATCAGATCTTTTAAAAAATATAAATGAAAAGTTTTCATGAGGGAAATCTTGAGGGTCACCCATACATATTGAAAAAAAATCAATTTTGTTTGTCTCACATTGCCTCCCAATGTCCCCACAAGATCATGGGAAGGAATGCACCTTGGTTTTGGTCCTCTCTAGACTATTGTAGGTCCAGAAGAGAGGCTCTATTTTCAGAACCAAGTGATCCGGAAGTCAACACCATGGACAGCATGTCAGAGTTCAGTATGAAAGCTTTTCTAAATGTTCCAATGTAGCATGAAGGCTGCAGCCTGGATTTGGAGGCCTTGCCAGCAACTTCAAATCTCTGAACTGGAGGTTCTCGTTCCCTTTCACTAATCTGACTTAGATGAGTGGTGTCAAACTTGTGTCCCTCCAGGCGTTTTGGACTTCGGCTCACAGAATTCTTATCCATTGGACAAGCTGGCTAGGGCTTCTGGGAGCTAGAGGCCCACACATAAGTTTGACACCTGTGCAATAGATGGAATAGATGATGGTGTAGGACAAAAAAGGTAACACAGGAGAAAGAGTGGCACCAATGCCATGTTTCTTCACCTTTCTGACTGCAGAACAAACAGCCTCTTGAAGCTATAGACATCTGCACAGAAGCTCACCAGCTTGACCCCAGAAATGTCTTCATCCTGCGTGACAGAGCTGAAGCCTACATCCTGAATGAGGAGTTTGAGAAAGGTGAGAGGGATGGTCATTGGGGAAGGGATGTCTCTTGGAAATATCGGAGCCATGAAGGATTGTGCTGCAAATGTAGAGTTATTGTCTGAATGTGATCAGCTCTGCTTGTTTTCTTGTGAATATAAAGCCTAGAATCCTGGCTATTTCATTTCCAAATAAAAGCAAGAATTGGGTTTCTCTGGACTCCTTGTCACTAAGCAGTTCTGTCACATCCTGCATGTACGGACATAACTATTGGGCGAGTGAGCTTATTAACAAAAGACCCTCCCCATAAATGTACAGCAGAGTAACTAATTAGCAGCAGCATGACCCAGAACCAGTAGCCCAAAGTGATAAAGAGAACAAAAAAATACAGATTGATGTAATATCTTCCTTAGGAGGTTTTTCTTTGTAGTAAATTAATATCCTTGCGGAGCCCCCAGTGGTGCAGTGGGTTAAACCACTGAGCTGCTAAGCTTATAGACCGAAAGGTTGTAGGTTCGAATCTGGGGAGCGGCGTGAGCTACCGCCGTTAGTCCCAACTTCTCCCAACCTAGCAGTTGAAAACATACAAATGTGAGTAGATCAATAGGTCTGGCGGGAAGGTTACGGTGCTCCATGTAGTCATGCTCACCACAAGACCGTGGAGGTGTCTATGGACAATGCCTGCTCTTCGGGATAGAAATGGAGATGAGCACCAACCTCCAAAGTTGGACACGACTGGACTTAATGTCAGGGGAAAACCTTTACCAAGCTTGTGTACCTAGCGTTGGCCAAATTATTTGAAAAAGTCATTTATTTACAAAATGCATAAGGTTTGCTTCCCCACTGGGCTTCTTTCTTGTGCAAATAAACAGTTTCGCTCTCACAGAGCCTCTTCTCACACCGAAGTTACACAGGAACTTCACACAGTAGCTTTTTACACACAGCAGCCTTCACACTGAAGCTTCACACACAATGGCGTTCAAACTGAGACTTCTCTCACAGAAGCTTCTCACTCCAGACCTACTTCACACTGAGGCCTTTCTCCCACTGAGGCCTTTTCACACTGAGGACTTTCTCAGACTGAGGCTTCTCTTAGACTGAGGGGTACTCAGCTACAGGCACACCTGCTTATATTGAACTGCTTTTCCTGAGTCATTGCATCCATTTAACCCTTTCAGTGCTTGACTCACATTTTTGTAATTAAAAATGGCTAGTTAATTTTTAATATTTCTGACAATAACAATTCAAGGGTGGGAAAAATATGAAATTTTAAAACCTGCATATTTTTTTCTGGATTTTAATCCAACTTTGTCTTATTTGTAGCTGTTGAAGACTATCAAGAAGCCAAAGAGTTTGATAGTGATATTGAGGAACTGAAGGAAGGACTGGAGAGAGCACAGAAGTTGCTGAAGCAATCTAAGAAACGAGACTATTACAAAATCCTTGGGATCCGGAGGTAAGTTGTGTGGCCTTTGGCGATGTTTTCACAGCCCTAAATCATAGAAAGGAGAACAATGAATTCATAGACTTTCTTCATTTTTATAGAGGAGGAGTGGTGAGTTTGTACTTATAAAACTGAGCCCCTTGTTTAAAGTGGAGATGAGAAATCTTCAGTGCTCCAAATGTTGTGGATTTCAGCTTCCTGCAGTCTTAATTTGTCTGCTATGTACAAAGGGATTCTGGAAGTGGTAGTCTAGAAGTCTGAAGAGACCATTTTCCTTTTTGGAATTGACACTGTAATTAGGTCTGAACTAGGCATTAAGGCCTAGATCCAGCTTCATGGAGTCCTCATAGACAACAAAT